GATTTCTTATGTTGCCAAGAAATCTGAGCCAAAATATACTGCTTTTTCTTCCTGAGTAAGTGATATCCGTCTCTTAAAGGACCATCTGTGTCCATTATGATGTTGTCTTGGCAGAAACTTGAAGACATTAGTGGATCAGATGTCTGGAATCTTAATAAAGCACCAATTACATTTTAAAATAAATGATTATATAACCTATTTCTACTTTTTTTTTACAGAGAGGGGCACTTCCAAAAAGCATCATCAACCATATTCTTTTTCAATTATAAATGGATTCAAATGTAATTTATTCCAGGATGGTAATGTCACATTTTATGACCCATTGCAGAGAAATAAATAATTTGGAGTATTCAGGATTACTGGAATTTGAAAGTAAAACCAGCCTTGAGGGCATGTAATAGTTTTGCAAAGCCTAAAGCCATCTTAAAGGTCAGTGTCAGATTCATCATCTTGTTTGCCTAGTCCTCACATGATTGCTGTGCTTGAATAAGTGCCTATGGCAGATGTTTTCCACTTTTCCCAGAATTATGATTTTAGGTAGAGAAACACCTAGCAGTGGCATATCGATCATCATGTCATAAACACTAAAGTAAAACCTGGTACTAAATAAGGAAAGTGATTTGACTCCTAAACAGAACAAAAATATAAATGAAAACATTTTTAAATTGATTTTTTTTTTCAGATCTTAAATAGGGAATTTAGGCTGGAGACGGTAGGCTTGGTCATGGAACACCTATGGTTTGCAGTCACTGTGCTAGGTTTGTGGGGACTAGAGAGAGAGATCAGACAGCAGTGGGAGATGATGGATTCCTAAACAATAATAGAAACCCAATGCCAAAGCTGGGGATTGCCCTAAGAGGGGTGTGGAAGTTCAGAGAAATGTAATGGTTGGTTTTGATCTGGGCCTTGAAGGACCAGTCCAATCCTATCGGCAGATTTGGTAACAAGAAGGTAGGATAATTTAAGCAGAGAGAAGCTTATATGAGAAGAGGCACAGCCAGGGAAGCTTAATCGTACATAAAGGGGGGTTGTAAGAAATAAGGCTGGAAAGAGAAGTCAGAGTTAATCATGGTGCCTCTCTGACACCATGCTAGAGAACTAGGAGTTTACTTGCTAGGCAATAACATGATCAGGAGCATCTTCAAAATGAATCAGAGAAATATGTCTGCAGTAAAATCAGAAAATAAAGAACTTGGGCCAGCCCAGTGGCGCATTGGTTAAGAGCTGGCTTGGGACTCCAGCTCTGAGCAGCAGGGTCCTGGTTCAGATCCCACATGAGGGCCAGTGACACTGCGCCCTCTACAGCTAAGATGGTGAACAACAGCTTGACCTGGAGCTGGGCTGCCGTGAGTCGCCGGCGATGGCGTAGGCTGCAGTGGGGCTGAAGTGGGCTGCCATAAGCTACTGTGTGTGGCTGGCAGCCAGTGTGAGCTGCCAAGAGCTGTCGTGAGCGGCCGTCCAGAGGCCAGCGACCGATCTGCCTCACCCGGGAAGAGCACAATGATAATACCAACATGGGCCAGTGAAGCAACGTCCTCCACAACGAGACTGAAGAACAAAACGACAGCAACTT